ACAAGCCTCATTACATGCTACAACATTTGACACGCCCCCATAGCCTAAGTGAGGAGTATCTAGCAAAGACAAAAGAGTACGGTCACAAGACCAGTCACGAACAAAACAAAGCTCAGGGGTGGATCACAACGTCACCACACATTTCTAAGCGCAAGCAAAGGGCCACAAGGCCAGTCAAAGAGTTCAGAGGTATATAAGTAATGAGTACAAGACAACAAGCAACAACTATGCACGACGAGAACCAGAGTCAACGAGACCTAACTGCACACAACACCTGTGGTGGTCACAAGGCGGAAGCGCCTTGGTGAAGATGTCGGCAGTGTTGGCCTCGGACTCCACAAAGTCCAAGCGAGCCTGTCCACGCCTCTGCAACTCTCGCAGAAAAAGATACCTGACGTTGATGTGCTTCCTCTGCTCTCCAGACGAGGCTCCTGACAGAGAAGAATCGCCGCCTTGTTGTCAGTGAACAAGGTCGGTGCAGAGCTCGGCCGCTCACCAAGGTCTGTGAGCAAGAAAGTCAACCAACGCAGCTCCTTTGCCGCCATGTCTCCAGCGTAGAATCTCAGCCTCGGCGGTTGGTAAGGTCGAGACCGAGGAGGAGCGCGTGGACCTCCACGAAACAGCTCCAGAGCACAGGCTGAAACAGTAACCTTGAGTAGACCTGTGGGTCTCTACATCGTCAGCGTAAGAAGAGTCACAGTGACCAGTAAGGACGACCGGCTGTGTCCCTCCAAGTACCAACCCCATGCCTGATGTCGTCGCGAGGTACTTCGCCACCCTCACAGCAGCGGTCCAGTGAACAGGACGGTGTCTCCCTGACGCAACAAAGCGAGCAAGGATGCTGAGAGGGTAGGCAAGGTCTGGGCGAGTACAAGTAATCAGGTACATGAGGCAGCCCACAAGCTCTGCGTAGGGACCACTCGGCTCAAATGGCTTGTCAGGAAAGGGACCAGTGAGTCTGTGGTCAACAGCAAGAGGTGTGCGCTGTACTGTGGAGTGCTGAAGCTCGAACCGCTGAAGGACCTGCTGCACCATGTGTGACTGTGAGAGTGTAATGGTGCGAGCTGCTCTGTCCCTGGTGATCTGCAGGCCAAGGTAGTGGCGCAGCTCACCAAGGTCAGTGCACGTGTGTCTCTTCTACAGTTCGGACTTCACGTCAGCCAAAGCAACCCTGTCAGCAGTGGCGAAAACCAGGTCGTCGACGTAGACCAGTACAAAGAACGGTGTGGAGCCACGACGAACGAACAGCGATGGGTCGGCAGAAGACGGCTCGAAACCGAGGTCAGACAGAGTAGAACGAAGGGTGTCGTGCCACTCACGAGGAGCCTGACGGAGTCCGTAGACCAGTCGCCTCAGCCTCCACTGGGTCCCACAAGGGAAAGTGCCAGTGAAGGCAGAGGGACGACGCAACCAGACCTCCTCGTGTAGGCTACCCTGAAGGAAGGCAGTGGAGAAGTCGAGAGAGTGTAGCTCGTAGTCTCTCTGTGCTGCCACGTGAAGTAACACCCGAAGAGTGGTCATCTTCGGGGTAGGCGCGAAGGTCTGAAAGAAGTCGACTCCCTCGCGCTGACTGAAACCTCTAGCCACGTAGCGCGCCTTGAAGACCGGAGGAGATCCCGGTGGCCGCTTCACCCTGTAGATCCGCATGCAATCGACTACGTTTGCCCCAGGGGGGGGGAACCTCGTCGACGTAGGTGCCTGTGGATCTGTAGAAGGCCATCTCTGCGTCCATGGCAGCTCTCCACTGAGAGGCCCAAGGCCCTGACACTGCCTCAGCGTAAGTGCGAGGAGTCGGTATGTCAAGGGCGTCGGGGTCTCCCTCAGGGGCGAGCAGCATGGCACAGAGATGAGGGAAAGCGGCGGCTAGGAACTCTAGCTCAAACTGCCTGTCCTCTAGGGCGTCACAGCCAAGGGCAGACTCACCCCCGACGGCCAGAGGACTGGTAGTAGGATCAGCGACAAGACTGGTGGCGTAGTCAAGGCGGCGAGTAGAGGCAAACTCAGTGACTGCGGCAGTAAGAGCGGAGACAGAGGACACAGAGGCACGAGGGTCGGTAACAAGAGAGGCGAGAACACGAGAGAGAACAGGACGGTACGTGCGGTAGTAGTCGGTGACAAGAGTGGAGAGGGAAGCAGCAAGAGCCGACTCAGGAGGAGAAGGAAGGAGACACGAGGACTAATGAGGTGGACTAGAACGAAAAAGGGCAGTACGAAGGCCAGTAACGAGAACAGGAGACGAGGGACGAGCACGAGGAGAGCGACGAGAGGCCCAAGTCTGAGAAGGAGGAGGGGACAACGGAGGCTGAGAACGAGGGAAAACAGCTGGGGAAGAGTCGGGCGGAGGAAACGTGGGACCGTAGACAGGAGGAGAGGGGGAGGAGGAAGGAGAGCGAGAGGGGAGACCGAGGGTCCGAAGACCAGAGACAGGAGGAGGAGGGGGCACTACAGCTTCTCCTGCTGCGGCTGCGACCGCTGCACCTGCTGCTATTGCTCCTCCAGCTGCGTCTACTGCTGCGGCTGCTGCTACTGCTGCTCCAACTCTTTCTCCTCTCTCTCCAACACTAGCTGCTCCTCACGGGCACGGCGAACATGAGCCTGGAGCCAAATCGGGTAGGGGTGGGCAGGAGGAGTAGTGTCCGGGGCAGCAGTAGCTCCAGGATGGCTCTCCAAAGCACCAGACACGTCACCCCCAGAGCCAGTACCACCAGCAACAACACGGCCAGACTCACCAGGGCCCGTAGAGGGCGCACCCGCACCCCCACTCGTAGTACCCTCAGGGTCAACGCGACCAACACCAGCTCCTGGAAGACTAGAGTCTCTTGCAGCCACGGACTCAGCCCCAACTCCAACACCCCCAGAACTAGGACCCGGCACAGGGACGCTCTCAACTGCAACCCCAACACCGCGAGAGCCAGCACCCCAAGCGGCCTCGCCACGAACACCGTCCCCCGCAGGGTCTGCTGCAGGCTGTGGGGAGGACTGCGGGGAAGGAGACCGCACCTGAGGGGCTACCGAGGGGGGAGGGGTAGCGTGGGAAACATCTGACGGGGCTGGACCAGGGGGAGGAGGCTGAACCGGTGGAGCAGGAGGGGGAGCGAAAGTGAGGAAGAGAGGGGGAGGAGGAACCGGGAGACCTCGACAGGGGTACCTGACGTAGTAGGGGGTGGACTCCTCGAAACGGACGTCACGGGAGTCAAAGAACCGGTGAGAGGGAGGGTGGTAAAAGGTGAAGTCAGAGGAGTCCTCAGGGAAACCAAGGAAGACACAAGGAACGCCGCGAGGCGAGAGCTTGTCCACGGAAGTGTCGCGGACAAGAGCCAAGCAACCCCAGACACGAAAACGCGACGCAACACCAGGGGACCCGGTCCAAAGACTAGTTGGTGAAGCCTCTGGCCGAGAGACACGTGGCCAGAGGTTCAGCTGGTGAGCGGCGTACCTAACCGCGTAGGGCCACAGAAAATGGGGGGCACGGGCGTGAGTCAAGGAGGTGCGGGCGATCTCCATGACCAAGCCTATGCGGCGCTCAGCAACCCCATTCTGCTGTGGGGACTCTGGAAGCGTCCAGGACTGACGAATGCCCTGCTCGCGACAGAATCCAGCGAGAACGCCGGAGCGAAACTCACCCCCGCGGTCGGAGTGAAGACAGCTGACACGACGACCACGAGTGTCCTCAGTGGTAAGCAACCACCTGATCAGCGTAGAAGTCACCTCAGACTTCTTCGCCAGGGGGAACACTGTGGTGTAGCGGGAGTAGTCGTCAACGACCACCAGAAAGAAACGCTCACGCTCAGGGCCAAGGCGAGAGGCGGGGCCCCAGACGTCCAAGTGGAGCGTCTCAAAAGGCTCGGTGGCCGGACGCAAGGAGGAGGAGTGAGGGGTGGCGCGCAGCCGACCCTCGACGCAAGGACCGCACGGTGGTGCAAGCGAAGGCGGCAGCGATGGCAAGACACGCGGGAGGCCTAAGACAAGACGCTGACTAGACATAGCGCGCAGACGAGGAATGGACGGGTGCCCCATCTGGTGGTGCCACAGAACGGTGGGGTGGGCAAGCGACCGACAGGAGCAAGACGCCGCAACTAGACCAGACACGGGAACCTGACCAGACACAACTACCTGAGGGGACGCGGCAACTTGGTGAGACACGGGGACCTGACGGGGGGCAGGGACAAGGGTCGGGGGCAGGGACAAGGTTCGGGGGCAAGAGTTGCTGCTGCTGCTGTGGCTGCTGCTGCTGCTGCGGCTGCTGCTGCTGCTGCGGCTACTGCTGCTGCTGTTGCTGCTGTGGCTGCTGCTGCCGCTGCTGCCCACCAGGGCCAGTGTGAAGTGTGTAGAGACCAGAGCCCGGCTGAACAGTAAAGGTGGCAAGAGGCGCGTACGAGTCCCCGTCAACACAAACCGCCGTCTCGCCAGAGGGCTCAATCCACACACCCACGTGCTGACTCACAAGAGGCCTCACGCCCACCAAGTTCCTCGAGAACGAGGGGACGTGGAAGCCGGTCAGAGACCCAGAGGGAACAGCAGGGCACGGAAGAGTAGTAGTGTAGCGAGCAGTGACTGGTCCCAAAGTGGGATCAGCCAGTGCTACAGAGACCGGCGCAGGAAGCGTTGTGAGCGTCGTATGGTTCGCGGAAGAAACAGTGCGAAGCCCAAGAGTCCAGAGTGAAAGACAGCGGAGCGTCCTCCGAAGTAGCTCCTAGACTAGTGTCTACACAAGAACCTACACTAGCAACAGGCAACTCAGCAAGACTAGCACCTAAGCTAACAACACTCGAGTAAACAGAGTCAGAAGCACTAGAGTCAACAACAGCATACATAGCATGAGGAGTTCCTAACAGATCAATCAACTGAGAAGCAGACATGCCCCAGAGAGCGAGGCCGTGCGACTGAAAAAGTGGAAACCAGTCAGGGGCAGGGCCGTCAACGCCGTAGGCCAAGCGAACGGTGTCAGTAAGCTGAGCAAAGCACTGACCCGGTGGGTGGGTGCGGCCACAGGGCTGGCCCCGGCGGGCACCTGTCAGAACGTGATAGGTGCACGGAGGGTGAACGACACTGCGCTGGAGCTGACGCTGTCCTGACCCCTGCCCCAAAACCTGCTGCTGCCGCTGCTGCTGCGGGGGCTGCTGCGAGGGGAGGGGCTGCTGCTGGACAACCGGCTGCGAAAAGCCGCGATACCGCCGCGCACGGCTTCTCCCTCGACTCAGACAAATCTACAACAACTGCCCCCCGTCCAAGACCAAGATGGCCGGAGGATCCGGAGGCCAAGCGAATCTAACGATCGAAGGACAAACCAACCCGGCTGCGACAAATGAGGCGACAACTACGATCGGCACTGCCGCCCTCGAGCAGTTATTCGCTCGACTGTCAACTATGGAGAAAGAACTCCAAGATTTGCGCAAAGGACAACCAGTTCAACCTGGACAACCGGCTGCGAAAAGCCGCGATACCGCCGCGCACGGCTTCTCCCTCGACTCAGACAAATCTGCAACAACTGCCCCCCGTCCAAGCGACGAGACAATCAACTCTGCGCAAGCACGCTTTCTCAGCGTTTCAAAGATTAAGACTACCGCCGCATTTGACGGCAAGGATTTCTACACATGGAGTTTTGAGCTGGAGCTCCTCCTACAGACAGCGCAGATCGACCACTACTTCGACGTTTCCTATCCTAAACCGGTGGAAGCCACCGAAGATGCCCGTGCTCAATACTACAGTGAGTCACTTATGGCGTATAGCGTCCTGCTGCGCAACATGTCACCAGCAGAACAGCTCGGCATCCGCTCCTACAAAGAGAGCGCCGCTCCAGCTCTAGAAGCCTGGAAGCACCTCGTGGAGGTATATCAGCCGAAGGATTCCGTCACTGCAAGTCTTCTCCTGCAGCAACTCATGGAGACAAAGATGGGGCACGGGGAGAAAGCAAACAGTTACATCAACCGTTGTCGGAGCATCCGTGATCAAATTATAAAGAACGGAAGTTCTATCTCGGAGGAGATCTTCGTCAACATCATCCTCCAAGGCCTTGGGCCTGAGTGGAAGCCCTGCAAGGCGCTACTCCGACAACGAGGAACCCTATCTGAAGCAGTGCTATGCGCCGCACTGCTGACTGAACAGCAGGACATGGATTCGAGCAGAACAAGCTCCGCGCCGCGCCGAGAGCGCCTCGCCTTCTACACAGACAGCTGAGAAGAGCGACGACAACCTAGGCGCCACTATTGCAAAATCTGCAAAATCTTCGGACACTCAACGGATCGATGCAAGTCCCGATCCAATTATCGCCACCCAAATTCCACTCACCATAACAACTGGGTCGGCCGATAAGACGCTCGTCACTTTTAGCCCCAACACCAGAACTCTCGTCCTCCTGCACAACAACAACCACAACAAGTGCAAGGAAGCCAGGGAGGAGCTCCTAGAAACGTAATAGCAAACATGGCGACACGGCGCCGTCGCACCGCTGAACCAGACGAAGAAGACGAGCTCCAAGGAGGACTACTTGAGACGGAAGAAGGGTGGAACAACCCTCTCACTGAAGACCACTACTATCAGTACGACGAAGACGAGCAAGACTGGAACCTGCCAATCACGCTGCAGGAAAGCCCGCCACACGACAATCAACGCTACGTACCTGTTGGGTGGAAGGAGGATGAAGACCCATCTTTTCACAGGCGCTACAAGGGGACACTGGTGACCCCGCGACTCGCGTTGCTATTACGTAACAACAACAACACCGACAACTACAACACCTGGTACCTGGACAGTTGCTGCGGACAGCACATGGTGGGATCCGTCCGATACCTCTCAAACCTAAGCCGCGCCCCCGCAACCTACGTCACCATCGCCAACAATCATCAGCTAAGCGCCAATGCACAAGGCATCGTGGTCCTACAAGCATGGGATAGCAACACCCACATCTCGTTCAACGACGTGCTCTACGTCCCGGACCTCCGCTTCAACCTACTCTCGGCAGGACAACTTCGCGACTGCGGAGTCGTGTTCACCACAGAACTAGCCACACGCGCCCTCATCCTCACTCACGCCCCTCCAAACACACCTCCCGAGTCGCACAAATACCTTGGGCGGGCTCGGTCGATAAACGGGATCTACGTTCTAGACTTCGACATACCAAACTGCCAGGCCTCGTCTGACGAACTCGTGGACCTCGTCCCCCTCGACTTCGCCCTCACAAACAAGGAATCGTGGCAGCATCCAGACAGGCGACAGTGGATTCGGCGGAGCCCTCATCCCCGCGAGGTCAACCTTCACGAGCCTGACATCACCGGCCTCTGCACCACCTGCCACACACCCAAAGCAAGCCGCACGGAGCAAGTCGAAAAGGAGTACGCGGCAATTCAGGAGGCCGAAAGCGCCGAGGAGGAACCCACAGGCATGACCGAAGAAGAGCTCGCTGTGACAACTCACCGCATCTTCGGCGAAGGCAACGAAAGATTCGGTCAACTGCCCGTCCCGCGCCCAAAGCCGCGAACAGAAACGTTCCGCTTCATCCTTGAAGCCAACACCACCACCTTCGACGAAGAAAATCGCCCGCGTCCGTACACTCGCGAGGATTACCGTCGCGAAATTGACCCCGCCTGGAAAGACCCGGACGCAAAAGGAGAGCCCAGCGTTAAAGAAGAAGAAGACAAAGAAAAGGCAGCAAAGAAACAGAAGCTGTACGAGGAGCACGTAGCGGCAGGCTGGAGTGAGGAATCTGCACGACGCGGCGCTTGGGGAGACGAAGATTACGAACCGGACGAAGGCGCTGCCTGGGGACCAGCTACCGGCGCTTGGGGAGCCAGCGGCCTGGTAACCACAGGAGGATGGGGCATCGAAGAAACACCTGGGGATAATCTCACACAAGAAGAGCTGGAAGAAGCAGAACAAGAGCTGCGAGCTGAGCGCGGAGAAGAATCTCCCCGCGTCACCATACCCCTCGGGCGACCGCCACCCGCACACACTCCCCCTCGCTCACCCCACCGCTGGGACAGTACCTGGACGGAGCTTGAGGAGGGGAACATACCTCCAACATCAGCACGAGATTCTCTTGGTCCAATCTCTCGTCCAGACCCTTTCGCGCGCCTTATCGAAGGCACGAGGACACCGCTGGACATCATTCTCGACCGTGACTTCCTCGCCCTCTACCTTACAACGGCACCCGCAGAAGGGGACGCAGCAACAAAAGCAGAAACAGAGGTAGCAGAAGACGAAGCAGAACCAGGAGAAGAGGAAGAACTCCCACTCCAAATCCCACAAGAAACGGAGGCGGAAGCAGCAGAACATCACGCACGCTACATGTGCACCAGTGGTATCCACGCAGAAGACGATCTCTGGCACCAGCGACTCGGCCATCCCTCGCGCCAGACTCTTGCCAACTGCCTCCGAGCCGGAGTCTTCTTCCCCTCCGCCCCGACGGTACCGAACCACGCAGCACCTCACAACCGACCACCTGCACCGTCTGCCCCACAGCAGCCCTCACCCACAGCGCTTACCCCTCTCTGGAACCGAGCACCAACCGCTACAAGAAGTTGCAAAGGTGTACAGCGATTTCATCGTGCTCACCTGTTGACGGTCTCAACGGCGAAAAAAAAACACTGACCTTCATCGACGCCTACTCACGCCACGTCTGGGTCGTCAACGTCGACGCACGATCCAAGGCTCCAGAAGTCTTCCGCATCTGGCTCGCACACGCACAGCGGCAGTCGGGGAGGAAGCTAAAAACTTGGCAGAGTGATGGCGCCAAGGAGTTCCGCAGCAACGAGCTGGAGAGCGTTCTCACCGAGAAAGGAATCAAGCACGAGATATCCCTCCCCTATGCTCACCAACAGCAAGGCGTTGCGGAGAGGGTCAACCGCACTCTCATGACGAAAGTGCGCGCGCTCATGAACCAGTCCGGCTTACCCAAGAAATTCTGGCCTTACGCCATGAACCACGCGGTGCGCCTGCACAACCTCCTCTCCACCACGGCCAACAGGGACAACCTCTCGCCGCATATGAAGTGGACCGGCTCAAGGGGAGACCCGTCCATGCTAAGAGTTTGGGGGTACATGGTTCAATATCGACCGACTTCAGCCACAATCGGCAAGTTTGCTCAGCGCGCGCGCTGGGGTATTCATCTGGGGCTCAGCAACGAGCACAAGGGGTGGCTCATTCTCGACATCAACAGCAAAGAGACTGTTCCTGCGCGCGATGTTCTCTTCTACGAGCGACTCACCTTGAAGCAGTGGATTGAGGACGAGAGGCGCAACCAAGCTCGCGGCTATGTCAACAGCGGCCGCAGCTTTGCATCTCCTGAGGACGAAGCAGCAGCAACATCGTTTGATCGCGACGACACCGACGACCATCCCGGTGTTCCGACTCGCCCACGCACGGACAACGACGACGATGATAGTGACGACACGCCCGCGCCCGGATCATCCCGCCGACAAACCACCGCAAGCAGCACATCCTCACCAGGCCAGGAGAGCGACGATGATGACGTGGTGGAAGTCCCCATCACCGACACTGCGGACACCACAAATGTGTCTGGCCTGCAACTGCTCGGCCTCCACACCTCCGTCTCCACCCTCGTCCGCGCCGTCGAACCCAAAAACCCGCGCCAAGCCCTAACCGGTCCTCACGCGTGCAGCTATGGACGCTGAGATGAACGCGCTGGAGTCCCGTGATACCTGGGTCCTCGTCGATCGTGCAGCAGTGAAGGGGAGAAGGGTGCTAAGCGGAAAATGGGTATTTCGTCTCAAGACTAACGCCGACGGAACTATCGAACGTTTCAAAGCACGATGGGTCGTACGAGGATACGACCAGCGCCACGGCATCGACTTCGACCAAACCTTTGCTCCCGTCAGTCGTCATACCTCCGTCAGGATTCTACTCGCCATAGCCGCCGCTAAGCATCTGCCACTGCGACAGATCGACGTGAAGAACGCATTCCTATATGCGTTGGTGGACGCAACCATCTTTGTGGAGCAGCCACACACCTACGGAGAAGGAGATCCCAGGGTCTGTCAGCTAAAGAAGTCCCTCTATGGGATCAAGCAAGCGCCTCGTCTCTGGCAGCAGCACCTACACAAAATCCTGCTCGAGATCGGTTTCAGGCAGCTGCCGCACGACCCGGGAATGTACCGCCTCCACTTCAACGGCGACTACATCCTCCTCACCGTCTACGTCGACGACCTGCTGTACACTGGCACCTGCAACCTGCTCCTTAACCAGTTCGAGGAAAACCTGGCGAAGCGCGTGGATATCACCATCAACCACAATGTCACTCAGTTTCTGGGCCTGAACATCACCTACGCGCCAGAAGCAATTCATCTGTCAGCTTCGAAATATGCAGAGCAGCTGGGGGAACGCTTCAACATTCCACGCGCACCACTCTCAACCCCCTACCGCAACCCCGGCACCAACTACAAACCGGACAACAAACCTCTGTCCCCTGCCGGACTCCAACTGTACCAGCAGCAACTGGGCTGCCTGCTGTTCGCATCTGTCACATGCCGACCCGACCTTTCGTACATCGCCAGCCAACTGGCACAGTACTCCCGCAAGCCAGTAGCCGAGAACCAGCTGGACTTGGAGCGCGCCCTGCAGTACTTCATCTCCACACCTGACATCGGGCTCTCATACTCCACGCTAACAACCACATCCTTCAACCTCAACGGCTACGTGGACGCATGTGAGGATCTGGTTTAGGAAAGATGATTCTATTGAATGATTCACCTGGGTACAAGGCGAGGCTATATATAGGCTCGACACAAAGGCAGTAACCCGGGTGTTACTAGAAGGTTCCGCGGGTCGCGAAGCGTCCCGAACGGGTCCTTCCCGAATTCGGTAGAAGGCAATTCGGTGGCAACCGAAAAGCCTAGAATTCGGTGCACTCAACCTAGTTCGGTGCCTACAACTATAATAACTATAGTAAAGGCAACGAATCTAGGAAATCAAGCAAAAGCATGCAAGATAAAATAAAGCTAAGCTAGTAATAACATAATAAAGTCCAGGCAAGCTAGCAAAGCCAGCATAAGCCGTCGTACTCTCACAACGCAGATCACGCCGCTGACCCTGCGAATCGACGGTCCCGAACTGGCTTTGTCTTCCGACTAGAGCCAACCGGCCCCACTTCTTGGAACTCGCAGAAACAAGAACTGGTTGCCTTGCCATCGACTGAAGCTGAATACATCGCCGCGGCAGCAGCAGTTCGCGAAGGCCTATACCTGCAGGAGCTACTACAGGAGGCGAAAATTCCAACCTCGCCTACCTTTCGCCTGCACTGCGACAACCAAAGCGCGATCAAGATCGCGAACAAGCCCGGGTTCGTGAACCGCACGAAGCACATCGCACTGCGGTACTTCTTCGTCAAAGACGAAATTGACCAGGGCAAGGTTGACCTCGCGTACTGCCCGACCACTGAAATGGCAGCCGACTTCCTCACCAAGCGTCTGCCACGTCAGCAGTTCAAGCACTGCTCCGACCTCACCGGAGTGGTCAAGCGAGTAAGAACTCTTCGCACCCAGGAATGAAGGGGAGTGTTACGATATGAAGTTTTTATGAGAAGGCATTCCTGTATGCTGCAGGAGCCGACTCTACCGAGTACGAAGGCGAGGAGTCAGAAGAGTCGAAGCGACACAAGCATATAACATAGTTGGGTACATATCCTAACCCTAACATTGGGTTGTACCCTTTATGGGCTACCCCACTACAGCCTACACAAGTATATAACATATACAGTTTAACACACCCCCATAGGCATGTCAAACATACTGTTTAACACTGAGGACGACACTTGCGGCTCTTGGGTTCGCTCCCTCTACTGCTGACCCGTCGCTGTTTCTACGCACCGACACCTCGCTGCCGCCGTTCTACATCCTCGTATACGTCGACGACTTGGTCTTTGCCACTGCTGACACCGCGGCACTCGCCCACGTGAAGTCGGAGCTGCAGAGGAGACACACGTGCACAGACCTGGGTGAGCTGACGAGCTATCTTGGCTTGCGGATCACCCGGGACAGAGCACGCCGCACCATCACCCTGACTCAGTCACACATGGTGCAGCAGGTTCTCCAGCGCTTCCGCTTCACGTACTCCTCGCCTCAGTCCACTCCTCTGCCTACCGGTCACTCGCTCTCAGCTCTGCCTTCGGATGAGTCCGTAGAGCCGAGTGGTCCGTATCCAGAGCTTGTGGGCTGCCTCATGTACCTGATGACCTGCACTCGACCTGACCTTGCATACCCTCTTAGCATCCTAGCACGCTATGTCGCTCCTGGCCGTCACCGGAAGGAGCACATGGATGCTGCTAAGAGGGTGTTGCGCTACTTGTGCAGTACGTCGGGCATGGGGCTTGTGCTTGGAGGGCGAGACCGGGTTGTTCTCACAGGGCACTCAGACGCTTCTTGGGCAGACGACCAGGCTACTCAGCGGTCGTCCCAGGGTTACACCTTCAGCCTTGGCTCTGGCTCAGTTTCTTGGCGTTCTACTCGCTCTTCTTCTGTTCTCAGCTCCAGTTGTGAGGCTGAGATCTACGCCACAGCCATGGCTGCTCAGGAGCTACGCTGGCTGACCTACCTGCTGACCGACCTCGGAGAGCGGCCTCGTTCTCCTCCAGTGCTGTACGTCGACAACAAGGCTGCCATTGCCTTGTGTGAGGAGCATAGACTGGAGCACAGAACGAAGCACATCGCTCTGCGGTACTTCCTTGCTCGAGAGCTGCAGCAGCGTGGTCAGCTTTGTCTGCGTTACGTGGCCATGGAGGCCAACACTGCTGATGTGTTCACCAAGGCGCTTCAGCCTTGTGACCATCAGCGCTTTTGCACTCTGCTAGGCCTTGTACCTACTGGGCCTCACTTGCTTACCTCTTGACCTTGCTTGTACTGTGATCACTATATATATATGCCTACTTGTTTACTTTTGCTAGGTTGTGATCACTGTATCTCTTGCTTTGTTATAAACCTGCATGTGAACTGGTCTTGTGACCGCTTGCTTGTGCTCGGAATTTGTGTGGAATCCTTGAGATCCACCCTGAGCTTGCTTTGCTTTGCTTTGACTGGTCTTGTGACCCTGTGGTTGTCTCCCACTGCGCCTATGGGGGTGTGTCAAACATTGTATGTTTATATTGTGTAGGCTGTAGTGGGTTACACCTTAGGGGGTACACAAAGTTAGGGTTTCCTACTTGTACCAAACTCTGTGCTAGTTCATTCATTCCTGCTCAGTTATTCTGACAAGGCAAAGTGGGGGAGAACAAGGGGTCACAAGACCAGTCAAGAAACGCAAAACAAGCTCAGGGTGGATCACAACGTCACCACACAAACTGAGCACAAGCAAAGGGCCACAAGGCCAGTCCACATGCAGAGATATATATATGCAACAAGAGCAGTACAGTGATCAATACCTAGCAAGAGCAAGCATGCAGGTATAAATATAGAGCACAGTACACACAAAGGCTACAGCAAGTGTGGAAACGTAGGCACAAGGCCTAACAAAGTACAAAAGCGCTGATGATCACCAGACGGAAGTGCCTTGGTGAATATATCAGCAGTGTTGGCCCGAGTGGACACGTCTGCAAGACGAAGCTGACCACGCTGTTGCAACTCTCGAGCCAGGAAGTAACGCAGAGCGATGTGCTTTGTTCTGTGCTCCAGTCTGTGCTCCTCACACAAGGCAATGGCAGCCTTGTTGTCGACGTACAGAACTGGAGGAGAACGAGGCCGCTCTCCCAGGTCGGTCAGCAGGTAGGTGAGCCAACGTAACTCCTGAGCAGCCATGGCGGTGGCGTAGATCTCAGCCTCACAACTGGAGCTGAGAACAGAAGACGAGCGAGTAGAACGCCAAGAAACAGAACCAGAGCCAAGGCTGAAAGTGTAACCCTGTGACGACCGCTGCGTAGCCTGGTTGTCAACCCAAGAAGCGTCTGAGTGCCCAGTGAGGACCACTGGACTCTGCCCTCCAAGCACGAGCCCCATGCCCGATGTACTGCACAAGTAACGCAGTACCCTCTTCGCAGCATCCATGTGCACCTTTCGGTGCCGACCAAGAGCCACGTAGCATGCCAGAAGGCCAAGAGGGTACGCGAGGTCAGGACGAGTGCAGGTCATCAGGTACATGAGGCAGCCCACAAACTCCAAGTAAGGACCACTCGGCTCTACGGAATCGTCCGAAGGTGGAGCTGAGAGCGAGTGACCTGTAGCCAGAGGAGTGGACTGTGGCGAGGACCAGGTGAAGCCGAAGTGCTGAAGGACCTGCTGCACCATGTGTGACTGAGTCAGTGTGATGGTGCGGCGTGCTCTGTCCCGGGTGATCTGCAAGCCAAGGTAACTGCGCAGCTCACCCAGGTCTGTGCACGTGTGTCTCTTCTGCAGCTCCGACTTCACCAGGGCGAGAGCCTCAGTGTCAGCAGTGGCAAAGACCAAGTCGTCGACGTACACGAGGATGTAGAACGGCGGCAGCGAAGTGTCGGTGCGCAGGAACAGTGACGGGTCAGCAGTCGAAGGAGCAAACCCAAGAGCCGCAAGTGTAGTCCTCAGTGTGTCGTGCCACTCACGAGGCGCCTGGCGGAGACCGTAGACTGGCCGCCGGAGGCTCCACTGGGTACCAGAAGGGAACGACCCAGTGAAGCCAGGTGGGCGGCGCAACCAGATCTCCTCGTGCAGGCTGCCCTGTAAGAAGGCTGTGCTGAAGTCCAGCGAGTGAAGCTCGTAGTCACGCTGAGCGGCAACGTGCAGCAGCACCCGAAGAGTGGTCATCTTCGGGGTGGGGGAGAAGGTATGGAAGAAGTCGACTCCCTCTCGCTGACTGAAGCCTCGAGCAACGTAACGAGCCTTGAAGACAGGCGGAGAACCTGGCGGCCGCTTCACCCTGAAAATCCACATGCCATCGACGATGTTCGCCCCGGGAGGGGGAACCTCATCGACGTAAGTGCCTGTGGACTTCCAGGATGCCATCTCTGCGTCCATGGCTGTCTGCCACTGGGAGGAGTACTCACCCGCGATCGCCTCAGCGTAAGAGCGCGGGGTCGGGATGTCTACAGCATCCGGGTCTCCCTCAGGGGCAAGCAGCATGGCCACGAGATGAGGCGCAGCGGCTGCAAGACACTCAAAGTCCTCCTGCATGTCCTCAAGGACGTCCGTGCCAAGAGCACATTCACCCCCGACGGATGGAGGACAGACAGACTCAGACTCAGTAACAAGACTAGCAGCGTAGTCTAGACGATAGGCACCAGCAAAGTCAACAAGCTCAGCGACCAGGGCAGACGCAGCAGCAGACTCAAACGACGGGTCAGTGACAACAGTGGCTAGCAGATGCGTGACAGTAGGGTGCTCAGCACAAAACCGGTCAGACTCAGGGTTCGTGACGTCAGGCAAAGAGGACGCAGGGGGAGACGGAAGAGGAGTACGCTCCGGAGTAGGGGACAGACGCAGGGCTACAAGGCGTGCGCCGGGGACAGCCGGCTGACGCGGACGAGGAACACGACGACCGGTACGACCAGGACGAACAGGCGAGACAGGACGCGACGCAGGCTCACGACGCTCAGCAAGACCCCCTGTTTGCTCAGTGTAAGGAGAAGGAGCAGGCAGCGGTGAGCCAGGTTGTAACGGAAGACCAGTAGACGAAGGGAGACTAAGAACCTGGCGAAGCACAGAGTCAGGCGGTGGCTGAGACGACGGAGACGGTGGAGCAAAGAACAGGCGCGGCTGTGCAGTGCCACCAGCACCAGCAGCTCCAGCACCCCCAGCAGCTCCAGCACCTCCAGAAGCTCCAGAAACCTCAGCACCAGCTCCTCCAGGACCAGCTCCACCAGCAGCAGCACCCCCAGAACCGGCACCCCCAGTCCCAGGGTCTCCAGCCGCAGCGTCTCCAGCAGCAGCACCTGCAGGCTCAACACCTCCAGCCCCAGCAGCTCCAGGGACGGTAGCAGAAGTACCTCCAGGAGCAGAGCCCCTAGCTCCAGAAGCGCGACCCTGACGGCGACCGTACCAGTCGTGCAGCTGCTGTGAAGTGAGAGGCACACGCGGATGAAGGCGGCAGCTCCAAGGAGACCGAGCATCAGCAGACTCAGAACCCTCAGCGCCAGCACCCTCAGCAGCTCCAGCGCCACCAGCACCAGGACCTCCAGCAGCTCCAGAACCTCCAGCGCTCGCACCCTCAGCAGCCCCAGAACCACCAGCTCCAGCGCCACCAGCACCAGGACCTCCAGCAGCTCCAGAACCTCTAGCGCCCGTAGGCGCAGCACCCCTAGACTCAGAACTGCCTGACTCAGCACCCCCAGACCCCTCACACGCAGGCTCAGCACCTCCAGGCTCCACACCCTCAAGCTTCGCACCCCTAGGCTCAGTACCTCCAAGCTCAGTACCCCCAGGCGCCGCACCCCCAGGCTCAGCACCCCCAGAAGTAGCACCCCGAGCAGGACCACCCCCAGCAGGACCTGAGTCACCAGTGACCTCGACCGGCGCAGGTAAGGGAGGAGGGTCAACCTGAGACACACCTGAAGGAGCAGGACCGGGAGCGGGGAGGGGGTCTACCTGGGGAGCACCTGGAGCGAGGAAGAGCGGCGGGGGGGGGGGGGGGGGGGGAGAGGGGCAGTGCGGTAGGGGAAGAGACGGTAAAAGGGAACCGACTCATCGAACGTGACGTCCTGAGACGCAAAGACACGGCGCGAGGTGGGGTGGTAAAACTGCCAACCAGGTGCGTCAGGGACAAAGCCAAGGAAGACACAGGGAACAGCGCGGGCGGAGAGCTTGTCCGCGGTGGTATCGCGGACAAAGGCACGAGCACCCCAGACCCGGAAACGGGACGCATCGCCAACCTTCCCCGTCCACAGCAGTGCGGGCGAGGTCTCCGGCAAGGAGACACGGGGCCAGAGGTTTAGCTGATGCGCGGCGTACCGGGCCGCAAACGGCCACAGAAAATGGGGGGCAGCCGCATGGATCATGGAGGTACGAGCCACCTCCATGACTAAGCCAATGCGGCGCTCAGCAACCCCATTTTGCTGCGGAGAGGCCGGAAGCGTGAACGACTGGGTGATGCCGTGCTCCGCACAGAAGGCTGCCAAGAGGTCTGAGGAGAACTCACCACCTCTGTCAAAGTGCAGACGCAGGACGGGAAACTCCGTCCCGAACCGCTCGCGGAGCTGGAGACGGGCAGCGCGGATCCAAGGGATCAAAACAGCAGGGACCTCCCCCTTGCTGCGCAAGGGGAAGACCGTGGTGTAACGCGTGTAGTCGTCGACAACTAATACCCCGGATAGAAGTGCATGCCTATGATAATCGCCGACGCTTATAAAAGGATGAGGGCGCTTATATCCGCTCCTCGATTATAAGCTGTTACGAATAGTAACATTTAATTGTTACTGAGCACTCCTCACCGCAGCAAAGAGAAGCACGCATTATCGAAGCAAGAAAGCGAACCATGAGACGGTTGGAGTTTGACTCGAAGTGTCAGACAGTTGGGGCGCATCTGGACCGTCGGAAGCAGACGGCATCGGACAGCTGCAGGCAGGATGTTTTTGGCGGGAACAGTTACGAAACTGTACGCGCCGCACGGTTGAGAATGCGTTTGAATAAGGGAATGTACCCCTTAGAGTACATGGCTAGCTAGGTCGTTTCGTCTTCCCTGTACTCATATTTATACTTGCTGTATTTGCATGTTTTAATCATCTCAAGCATTTTACATTCACTCTGCTATTGAGGTCACGGGCCCACCAACTACATTTCCCTGTGTGCGAACCTTCCCGAGTAGATCCTGGTAAGCGATCATTCTCTGATCGTAGCATGGTATGAGAGCGACTCGGGAATCCTTCGCAACACCACTCCCGAAAATTACGACATTCAAAAAGTGGCGACCGGCATACGCTCACGTGTAAGAATGGCCGAAAGATCTGGTGGTCAGACTAATCTGACGGCTGAAGCGCGCACCAACCCGGCTGCGACAAGCGAAGACACGACTACGATCGGCACCGAAGTCCTCGCACAACTTCTTCAGCGACTCACCAGTCTGGAGCAAGGGCTCCAAACATTGCGGAACGGCGATGCGGGAACATCCTCGCAACCATCCCAACCGGGCCCAACTGGGCAGAACACCGTCCCGCAAACCTTCTCCCTCGACACAAATGGCTCAACCCCCAAGGCTCCCCGTCCCAGTGAAGAAGCAATTCTCTCCGCTCAATCAAAGTTTCTGAGCATATCAAAAATAAAGACAAGTTCCAGCTTTGACGGCAAAGACTTCTATACCTGGAGCTTCGAATTGGAGCTCCTGCTGCAGAACGCCCAAATCTTCCATTACTTCGACGGGAGCTACGCCGAGCCTGCCGAGGACACCGACGACGCCAAGGCGAGGTATTACAACGAATCACTGATGGCGTACGGGGTGCTCCTGCGGAACATGTCCCCGGCGGAGCAGCTCAACATTCGTTCGTACAAAACGACAGCTGCTCCAGCCCTCAACGCCTGGCGACATCTGACAGGAGTGTATCAGCCCAAGGACTCTGTCTCCTCTAGCCGACTGCTCCAGAAATTCCTGGAAACCAAGATGACCTCAGGGGAGAAGGTCAACACTTACCTTAACCGCTGTCGGAGCCTTCGTGATCAAATCGTGAAGTTGGGAAGCACGATATCTGAAGAAATCTTCGTTAACATCGTACTTCAAGGGCTCGGCCCAGAGTGGCGGCCTTGCAAGGCGCTTCTCCGACAGCAGGGGGTCATCTCGGAGGCCGCCCTTTGCGCCGCCCTTCTCGTCGAACAACGGGATATGGACCAGCAGCGACCAGCGCCACGACGAGAAAGAGAACGGCTCGCCTTCTACGCCGACAACAACGAAGAGCGACGGCCGAGGCGCCTTTACTGCAAAATCTGCAGGAACTTCGGGCATCTGGCAGATCGATGCAAATCCCGATCTCGCCCTCGCCAGACCAATCCGAGCAACTGGTCCGGCCGACAAGACGTACGAGGCGACGTGCGTCCAGCCCAGGGCTATCAGCCCCCTCCCACGCGCAACCTGAACCCCGCGGTTCAGCATCAGCAGCAGCAGCCGTCATCGACTGCACCAGTGCGCAACGTCATGAGCAACATGGCCATGACAGGCGAGTCGCGCCGTCGTCGAGTACGCTCTCCCTCACCTGAGCTAGCTCCGCACCCCATTGGTGCGTTCGCTAACAACAATCCGTTTAGTCCGCGCCGCGACTATACCGACGACGACGACCAGGACTGGAACCTCCCAGTCCCGCTGCTTGAAAGTCCCCCGCACGTACCTGATATGCGGGTGGCGCCACTTGATTGGCTCACGCGCGAGCAATTTCTGAAGTTCGATACCCCGCACATCGTCACGCCGCGACTGGCGCTGCTCGCACGTGACGACAACAAGCGCAACAACACCTGGTACTTGGACAGCTGCTGCGGCCAGCATATGGTGGGCTCCGAGCGTTACATATCCAACGCCGTCCCCACCCCTACCGTCACTCACGTCACTGTGGCGAACAACACGCGCCTGCGCGCAAGGCATCGTCGTGCTCAAAGCACGCGGAAGCCGCACGCACATCACTCTTAATGATGTGTTAATCGTCCAAAACCTGCGCTTCAACCTCCTGTCCGCCGCACAGCTCATGGACTGCGGCGTCGACCTCAGCACGGACCACGCGACGCGAGACATCCTGCTACACTACGAGGCGCGCAACTTCCCCCGCAGGCAGATCGGACGAGCACACTCCGAAAATGGAGTGTACATCCTGGATTTCGATATTCCCGACTGCAGCGGCGACTCGCACGAGCTAATTGACCTCGTGCCACTGCGATTCGAACACATCCACCGCAGGGACTGGAAGCACCCTGACGGCAGGCCGTGGGTGCCGCATCATCCCCACCCACGCGAAACGGCACTTCACAACCCCGATCCAGATGGAATCTGCAGGGATTGTCACACGCCGACAACCTCAACGAGCGCGATCGCAGGCCGCGGACTCGCCGCCATCGCGGAAGCAGAGCGCAACGCGCCCCCCGAGGAAGGGATGTCGCAGCTCGAACTCGAAGTCACCACGCATAACGTGTTCGGGACGACTGAGCACCCCCTCACAGGTCCCCCTTCTCAACATCTTCGAGGGATGCTTCGTGGAACTGGTGTCGGCACCTTCGATGCGCGTGGCATGCCACGCCCCTACACCCGCGAGGATTTTCTGCAGATTTACCCACATTGGCGCGACCCCACGGCAAAACTCACCGTGGAACAGGAGGAAGAACTGGCGCGCCGCGAAGCCGAGGAGCTTCGCCAACAAAGCCTCACCGAGGCACGCGGAACGTTCGCTTGCGCCGCATGGGGCGCCGAAGCTGAAGAAAGCGCCACCAATGAAGGGGGGTGGGGAAGCGTCGGCGGACGGGAAACGGCTGAGGCTGGCGACTGGGGCAACACCGGCGGAACCTGGGCAACCGCAACCGGCGGATGGGGCGCCGCATCTGGCGCCGACACGAGTGGCTGGGGCACCCCTACTAGAGGCTGGGGGACTTCCCGCGAAGACCAAAGGGGGGGAGAAGAAGAAGCTGGAGAGTCTGCAGTTGTTCCCCTCGGTCGTCCCCCACGCCATGTCCCACTCGCGTTACCTCCTCCTGATAACCCACCGCGCCGCGATCCATGGGACACCATCAACTGGGGCAACGAGCCGTCAACCCCGCGCCGCACTGTCTACGGACCTGCCCCTGAACCTCGCGAACCTACCTTTTGCGCTGGAACCATCCCTGGGACCAACATCCCGCTCTCTGAAATTCGTGACAGAGAATTCCTGGCGCTGATGCTCACCACCGCGACAGAAGAAGAAGAAGCAGAGGAAGAAGCATCGGAACCTGCTCCTGTACCTGACGAAAACCCTGAGGAAGCGTGTGCGCGCTACATGCGCACCTCCGGCTTTCGCGCTGACGACGCACTCTGGCACCAGCGCCTCGGACATCCCTCACGCGCAACACTGAAAAACTGCATCGACGCAGGCGTCTTCGCTCCTGGAGCGCTCCTACGCCCAGATGGCAGTGAAGTGCGAGGTGCGACACATCCGCGCAATTGCACCGTCTGCCCCGAAGCTGCGCTAAGCCACCAACCGTTCCCGCTGCTCGAGCCAGGAACGAACCGCTACCCCAAGCTGCACAAAGTGTACAGCGACTTTCTCAACGTGGGGCACTGCGGGGTCGACGACGAGCTCTACACACTCACCTTCATCGACGCTGGAACACGCTATGTGTGGGTCGCGAACGTGGAAACTCGCGACAGGGCCTACGAAGTGTTCCGCCTTTGGCTGGCTCACGCGCAACGGCAATCTGAGGAGAAGCTAAAGATCTGGCAATCTGACGGCGCAGCAGAGTTCAGGAGCAACCAGATGCAGACTTACCTGGCGCAAAAGGGGATCGAGCATCACATCTCTCTCCCCTACGCACATCAGCAGCAAGGCGTAGCGGAGCGAACGAATCGCACACTGATGACGAAGGTGCGGGCGCTGATGAAGCAGTCGAAGCTGCCGCCGATCTACTGGACTTACGCGATGCACCACGCCGTGCGGGTGCATAACCTGCTTTCAACCACCGCGATCACCGGGAATCTCTCCCCGCACGTCAAATGGACCGGGACCAAGGGGGATACCTCCATGCTCCGCGTGTGGGGGTGCATGGTGCAGTACCGCCCGCCAACATCAACCATCGGCAAATTCGCCAGTCGCGCGCGCTGGGGAATTCACCTCGGCATCAGTCACGAGTACAAAGCATGGATCGTACTGGACCTCCTCAGTCAGAAAACCGCCCACGCTCGCGACGTAATCTTCTACGAGCGGCTCTTCCTCGACCAATTCCGTCACGACGAGGAAACGAACGCGAATCGCGTTTACGCGAACGACGGGCACAGCTACGCAACGCCCGAAGACGAGGCCGCTGCAGCAATCCTGGAGCAGGATACAAGGGGCGAGTTCACATGGGAGGATCGGCGCAGCAGCGACGACGACGACGATTCCTCAGGAGGAGGAATGGGCGGATCAGGCGGAAGCGGTAGAGGCGCAGCACCACCAGCACTACCCGAACCGGAAAGCGACGACGACGATGTGCAGGAAGTCGTCCCGCAACAACGCCACGACTGCACCATCTCAGGACTACAGCTACTCGGGCTTCACACCGCAACCTCGAAGGCGCCACGTGTAATCGAGCCCCGAAACCCGCGCGAAGCTCTGTCTGGGCCACACAGCAAGGAGTGGCGCGAGGCAATGGATGCGGAGATCAAGGCGCTCGAGTCCCGAGACACCTGGGTGCTGGTCGACCGTGCGGCAATCAAAGGTGCAAGAATCCTTTCGGGGAAGTGGGTCTTCCGCGTGAAGACCGCAGCTGACGGAACGATCGAGCGCTTCAAGGCGCGCTGGGTGGTGCGCGGCTATGACCAGAGGCACGGCATCGACTTCGACCAGACATTCGCTCCAGTCAGTCGCCACACCTCCGTTCGAATCCTGCTCGCCATCGCAGCTGCGAGGCACCTGCCACTCCGCCAGATCGACGTAAAGAATGCGTTCCTGTATGCGCTAGTAGACGCCGTGATCTATGTGGAGCAGCCGCATACCTATGGCGAAGGAAACTCGCGCGTGTGTCAACTGCGCAAGTCGCTCTACGGGATCAAACAAGCACCGAGGCTGTGGCAGCAGTACTTGCACAACATCCTGCTTGAAATCGGGTTCAAGCAGATGCCCCACGACCTAGGGATGTACCGCCGCGATTTCCGCGGGGAATACATCCTCCTCACGGTCTACGTCGACGACTTGCTCTACACAGGCTCAAACAACGAGCTGCTCGAACAGTTCGAGAAGGCTTTGGCGGGGCGCGTCGACATCACGTGCAACTACGAGGTGAAGCAGTTCCTAGGCCTCAACATCTCCTACGCGCCTGAAGCCATTCGCCTGTCAGCAGCTAAGTACGCAGAGGAGTTAGGGAAGCGGTTCAAGATTTCACCCGCACCTCTCTCGACTCCCTACCGAACCCCCGGACCGAACCACAAACCTGACAACAAAGCCCTATCCCCTGCTGGAATTCAGACTTACCAGCAGCAGCTGGGATGCCTCCTCTTCGCCTCTGTCACCTGCAGGCCAGACCTCTCCTACATCGCAAGTCAGCTTGCCCAGTACTCACGGAAACCAACGGCTGAAAATCACCTGGACCTGCAGCGCGCTTTGCAATTTTTCGTTTCAACGCCCAAGATTGGGCTGTGCTACTCAACTGCACCAACCCCATCCTTCAATCTCGTCGGCTATGTGGATGCCGATCATGCAGCAGACCCCGACAATCGACGGTCCAGGACCGGCTTCCTGTTCCGACTCGAACCAACGGGGCCAATCTCCTGGAACTCACAGAAGCAGGAGCTGGTTGCCCTGTCGTCAGCCGAAGCAGAATTCATCGCAGCAACCGCAGCAGTTCGCGAAGGCCTCTACCTACAGGAACTCCTGCAGGAGGCGAAAATTCCAGCTTCGCCAACCTTTCGACTTCACTGCGACAACCAGAGCGCGATTCGCATCGCGAACAAACCTGGTTTCGTCAATCGCACCAAGCACATTGCGCTGCGATATTTATTCGTGAAGGACGAAGTGGAGAAGGGCAAAGTGAACTTGACGTATTGCACGACCGGTGACATGGCAGCGGACTTCCTCACGAAGCGACTGCCACGCCAGCAGTATCAGCACTGCTCCGAACTCAGCGGCGTGGTCAAGCAGGTCAAGTCAAGCTACGGCCAGGAGTGAAGGGGGGTGTTACGAATAGTAACATTTAATTGCGCCTGAGCACTCCTCACCGCAGCAAAGAGAAGCACGCAGTATCGAAGCAAGAAAGCGAACCGTCAGACGGTTGGAGTTTGACTCGAAGTGTCAGACAGTTGGGGCGCATCTGGACCGTCGGAAGCAGACGGCATCGGACAGCTGCAGGCAGGATGTTTTTGGCGGGAACAGTTACGAAACTGTACGCGCCGCACGGTTGAGAATGCGCTTGAATAAGGGAATGTACCCCTTAGAGTACATGGCTAGCTAGGTCGTTTCGTCTTCCCTGTACTCATATTTATACTTGCTGTATTTGCATGTTTTAATCATCTCAAGCATTTTACATTCACTCTGCTATTGAGGTCACGGGCCCACCAACTACATTTCCCTGTGTGCGAACCTTCCCGAGTAGATCCTGGTAAGCGATCATTCTCTGATCGTAGCGATTATAAGCGCACCCCTGAAGGCTTACGGATTATAAGCGCCACCTTTTTTAATGTTTTCTTATATTTTAACTAGAAACTCCGTAACGAAACACAACTTTGCATTCCGACATTCAGAATTTCGAATCCCTTCACCCTCGCGCGACTCAATGCCTTCGCGTCCAGTCAGAATGAGCTGTCATGGGGTCAATCTGACTCATTCTGACGGTGTCTGTTGGCATGGAATCAGCCACTGCCAATTCACGCGAAATTCACATTCATTGCCCTCTACAATATCGATTCGATTCAAATCGCAAGGACGACATGAACACTTTGGTGAAAAAAAAAACTAGATTTCATATATGTCATTATATAAGCCCCGGCGCTTATAAAAATCCTCAATTATAAGCCCACCCCCTAAAAAACAGTGTTTTTTTTATACAGGGGGCGCTTCTATCCGGGGTATGACGGTACGAAAATTTAAAAAGTGTAACACTTTTAAAATTTAAATGTAATAAATCTAGGAATCGTTTGGGCAGTGTAGCCGCAGGGCTTGCCGAAAGCTCCTGGCAGATGCTCTGCTGTACCTGACGGAATTCGCGCCAGGCAGGCCAGGGTGGTCGGCACCAGGGTGGCTGGGTGGGACCCTGCCAGAGCAGAGTCGTGATTGGGTGCCCTGCCACAGCGGGTCCAGAGAGGCGTAGTACACAAGTGCGCCACCCAAATACTGAATTTCGTGGGGGTGTTTGCTCGAACTGTGAAAGGGTTTCCTGTTGAACCCGTCGTCAACCCACCCGAAATGTCGCAGTCATTACGACCAGGGAAGATATCGTATGAGCGGTGCTTTGGGTGTGTGTCGCTGTGTCCCCCCCAAGGAAAAGCGCGAGAAGAAAGTCTATCGCCCGATGCGATTCGTCACACTTCGCCACCATTAGAATGTTCGATTTCGCGAAATTCGGCACACCTAGTTCCAGACCAGGTCTTATGTGCGCCCTGATTCGAACACGTTCGGCACTCCTGATTTTAATAGCCCACTTCCGTCGATGGTACCTCGTCTTAAAGAAAGCACTGACTTTGGTCTTATATTTTCTTGACTTTGCATTTTGATCCAGCCAATAGGGGTTTATTTCCTGCCTGGTAAGTTGACGGCCGGACGCCGGTCCACATGGCACTGTCGATGTCGGCCTGCTAATCCCCTAGTGTACACACACACGGCTGATGGTGCTCATCCAAGGTTTAGGTTGCGGGTGCAGTCCGCCACCCAAACCGACGAATCCGGCCAGGTTGCTCCGCCCTGCCTCTCCTGCGCGCCCTGCGCGCATCCCAAAAAAATTTCGGCGGTAGAACATAGTACAAGGCAAAGCCGCTCCCATCGCTTACGGGACACGGCACGGACCGCGGATGCAAGAAGGTTGGGGGGAGTGTCGGCGGGATTTCTTTGTGTGCGTTGGTGGGGAAGAGACTCCCCCTGAGGGGGGAGGGTGATTTGGGACTGCGCTAAACCTTTCGCGCTGCTCTGTCGCCTTGTCATCGTCACCTCAATTTCCTCGTCGACCTCCGTCGTCACCTTCCGCGCTGCTCTGCCGTCCGCCAGCTCCGAAACCCGCGGATGTCGGCTCCGCGGCTCTCCCTTCCTGCCCAGTTGTTTGCGGGAGTGGGGATTCATTGCGGCACCTCTGGTGGCACTAGCAGCAGCACGCCGCCGCACCATATAACCGCTCATCTCCTCCCATCCATATCTCCAATCCTCGCTCGCACACCGCGGATTTTTCGCTTTTCATCACACTAGATTCCCCACCCCTTGAAAGTCGGTGCGTCGGAAAGACGGCGCGTGAACATCAAAGCCTCGCAGTCGGTGCCACGTAGAGTTCGAGGAGCTAAAATCCGAGCCTCCGCGCGTCTGAAGCTCAGCATCTCGTTGCGCGCCGTCCGTCGTCGCCATGGCTCGCTTGCTCTCCGCAATCGCGCTCGCCACTGGCCTGCTCGTCCTGCTCGGTACGCCCCTCCCTCGCTCCATGCTCATTTGTTCCATCGCGTGTTCTGCCCCTTCCTCTTCATCGCGTTAAGCACTTGCAAAGATCGAGTTTTGGTCCCCTTTTCCCTTCTGCCTTGATCTGCACGTGCTCGCGATTCGCATTGAGCGCCTGTTTGTTCCTTTTCTCCTCTTTTCGCTTCATACTCCTGTTTGCGGCACGTGCTCGCAACTCGAGGCATTGCATCATCGCTCCTCCGTCCCTGCCCGTGTTTCCCCTCCCCGGTCCCCTGCCTCTCCTTCCCCTCCATCTCCCCCTGCCTCGCCTGGCACGGTGTCCAATCGACTGTGCTCCGCAGCCGCAACCCACGCAGAGGTACGCCTCTCCCTTTCCCACCCTCCCGCCGTCACCTCATCAATCTTGTACCCGCTACTGCTTGCTGCGCTCGCTTGCCCTCTCCGCTCTCCTGCTCTCCCTGCTTCTCCCGCCCTCCCTGCTTCTCCCGCTCTCCCCGCCTGACCCGGTCTCCCTGCTCCCCCTGCTATCCCCGCTTCCTTCATCATCCCAATCCGTTTACCCACACCCTGCACCCCACGTGCACAGGCGAGGGACATCGTGGTGGGGGGCAAAAACGGGTGGACGTTCCAGCTCAGCACGTGGAAGCCCAACCCGCCTGCTCGTGCAGGCGACGTGCTTGGTGCGTGCCCCTCGCATGATCCACCGCTATTCCGAGTGCTTCCGTTGCTCACGTCCGCACCCCATTCTTCTCTTGCTCCTGAATCCCATGCCGCTTACATGTTTTACAGCGGTCGTGTCTGTTCTCTACCATGACGGCCGGTGGTAGTGGTATCACCACCGCTGCACTGCTTGTATCGGTAGGCCGCTTGCAGAAACCACGTCGAGCGCGTCTCTTCGCTTTCACATCTTGCAAATTCCACATCTTTCATGCTTACCTCCATCTTCACTGAAAGTTGACCTTTGCTCTCCCGCATCCCCGGTTGTTCTGGGCATACTACGGCAGTGTTCAAGTGGGTTGGCAAGCACGACGTGTGGCGGATGAACGGTGCTGCGGCGTACAGGACGTGCAACTTTAAGGCTGCTACGAAACTGACGCAGCAGACTGTTGGTGGCAAGTACAGGTGAGCCGCACAGTACAGTGCAGCACAGCGCAGCGCAGCGCAGCGCAGCACAGCGCAGCGCAGCACAGCACAGCACAGCACAGCACAGCACAGCACAGCACAGCGCAGCACAGCACGCATGTGGTGTGAGCAGTTGGCCCCAAAGGCATGTGAGATTCATGTGTGTGGTAAAAACGTGTGAGTGACCACTTTGGAAGCTGTACCTTTGCTGCTGCCACATCAGACCAGGGAAAAGAGCTTAACCCAACCCATTCGCCCCGAGCATCGTAGAGAATCGCTTATCATGCTGCACCTGTCTGTCCGACTTGTATTTGTCTCCGTTTTAGGTTCACGGTGCCCAACACAGCCAAGGGCAAGACTCTGTACTTTGGCTGTTCAGTGGTGTACCATTGCGAGGGCATGATGAAGGTGGCCATTCCGGTCCAGGCTTGAGAGAACAGCACCGTGCAGCTGTGCCTCCTTGCTGCCTTACTCTGTATCAATGTTTACTGGTGTAACACCATTGTCAAGTAGTCGTCGTCGAAGGGAGATAGAGGTTAGCTGAGCTACATCAGTGTGCCATTCGTTGTAGCCCTTCCCTGCATTGCTTGTGTACTGTATGCGTCCACTTCAAGACATTTCTAGTCTTACTGGCCGTGTCGTAAGTAGGTATCTTGATTCTGCAAAAAAAAACAGGTGTTTCACATCGTCAGACGAGGCTCCTGACAGAGAAGAATCGCCGCCTTGTTGTCAGTGAACAAGGTCGGTGCAGAGCTCAGCCGCTCACCAAGGTCTGTGAGCAAGAAAGTCAACCAACGCAGCTCCTGTGCCGCCATGGCTCCAGCGTAGATCTCAGCCTCAGCGGTAGAGGTCGAGACCGAGGAGGAGCGCGTGGACCTCCACGAAACAGCTCCAGAGCACAGGCTGAAACAGTAACCTTGAGTAGACCTGTGGGTCTCTACATCGTCAGCGTAAGAAGAGTCACAGTGACCAGTAAGGACGACCGGCTGTGTCCCTCCAAGTACCAACCCCATGCATGATGTCGTTGCGAGGTACTTCGCCACCCTCACAGCAGCGGTCCAGTGAACAGGACGGTGTCTCCCTGACGCAACAAAGCGAGCAAGGATGCTGAGAGGGTAGGCAAGGTCTGGGCGAGTACAAGTAATCAGGTACATGAGGCAGCCCACAAGCTCTGCGTAGGGACCACTCGGCTCAAATGGCTTGTCAGGAAAGGGACCAGTGAGTCTGTGGTCAACAGCAAGAGGTGTGCGCTGTACTGTGGAGTGCTGAAGCTCGAACCGCTGAAGGACCTGCTGCACCATGTGTGACTGTGAGAGTGTAATGGTGCGAGCTGCTCTGTCCCTGGTGATCTGCAGGCCAAGGTAGTGGCGCAGCTCACCAAGGTCAGTGCACGTGTGTCTCTTCTACAGTTCGGACTTCACGTCAGCCAAAGCAACCCTGTCAGCAGTGGCGAAAACCAGGTCGTCGACGTAGACCAGTACAAAGAACGGTGTGGAGCCACGACGAACGAACAGCGATGGGTCGGCAGAAGACGGCTCGAAACCGAGGTCAGACAGAGTAGAACGAAGGGTGTCGTGCCACTCACGAGGAGCCTGACGGAGTCCGTAGACCAGTCGCCTCAGCCTCCACTGGGTCCCACAAGGGAAAGTGCCAGTGAAGGCAGAGGGACGACGCAACCAGACCTCCTCGTGTAGGCTACCCTGAAGGAAGGCAGTGGAGAAGTCGAGAGAGTGCAGCTCGTAGTCTCTCTGTGCTGCCACGTGAAGTAACACCCGAAGAGTGGTCATCTTCGGGGTAGGCGCGAAGGTCTGAAAGAAGTCGACTCCCTCGCGCTGACTGAAACCTCTAGCCACGTAGCGCGCCTTGAAGACCGGAGGAGATCCCGGTGGCCGCTTCACCCTGTAGATCCGCATGCAATCGACTACGTTTGCCCCAGGGGGGGGGAACCTCGTCGACGTAGGTGCCTGTGGATCTGTAGAAGGCCATCTCTGCGTCCATGGCAGCTCTCCACTGAGAGGCCCAAGGCCCTGACACTGCCTCAGCGTAAGTGCGAGGAGTCGGTATGTCAAGGGCGTCGGGGTCTCCCTCAGGGGCGAGCAGCATGGCACAGAGATGAGGGAAAGCGGCGGCTAGGAACTCTAGCTCAAACTGCCTGTCCTCTAGGGCGTCACAGCCAAGGGCAGACTCACCCCCGACGGCCAGAGGACTGGTAGTAGGATCAGCGACAAGACTGGTGGCGTAGTCAAGGCGGCGAGTAGAGGCAAACTCAGTGACTGCGGCAGTAAGAGCGGAGACAGAGGACACAGAGGCACGAGGGTCGGTAACAAGAGAGGCGAGAACACGAGAGAGAACAGGACGGTACGTGCGGTAGTAGTCGGTGACAAGAGTGGAGAGGGAAGCAGCAAGAGCCGACTCAGGAGGAGAAGGAAGGAGACACGAGGACTAATGAGGTGGACTAGAACGAAAAAGGGCAGTACGAAGGCCAGTAACGAGAACAGGAGACGAGGGACGAGCACGAGGAGAGCGACGAGAGGCCCAAGTCTGAGAAGGAGGAGGGGACAACGGAGGCTGAGAACGAGGGAAAACAGCTGGGGAAGAGTCGGGCGGAGGAAACGTGGGACCGTAGACAGGAGGAGAGGGGGAGGAGGAAGGAGAGCGAGAGGGGAGACCGAGGGTCCGAAGACCAGAGACAGGAGGAGGAGGGGGCACTACAGCTTCTCCTGCTGCGGCTGCGACCGCTGCACCTGCTGCTATTGCTCCTCCAGCTGCGTCTACTGCTGCGGCTGCTGCTACTGCTGCTCCAACTCTTTCTCCTCTCTCTCCAACACTAGCTGCTCCTCACGGGCACGGCGAACATGAGCCTGGAGCCAAATCGGGTAGGGGTGGGCAGGAGGAGTAGTGTCCGGGGCAGCAGTAGCTCCAGGATGGCTCTCCAAAGCACCAGACACGTCACCCCCAGAGCCAGTACCACCAGCAACAACACGGCCAGACTCACCAGGGCCCGTAGAGGGCGCACCCGCACCCCCACTCGTAGTACCCTCAGGGTCAACGCGACCAACACCAGCTCCTGGAAGACTAGAGTCTCTTGCAGCCACGGACTCAGCCCCAACTCCAACACCCCCAGAACTAGGACCCGGCACAGGGACGCTCTCAACTGCAACCCCAACACCGCGAGAGCCAGCACCCCAAGCGGCCTCGCCACGAACACCGTCCCCCGCAGGGTCTGCTGCAGGCTGTGGGGAGGACTGCGGGGAAGGAGACCGCACCTGAGGGGCTACCGAGGGGGGAGGGGTAGCGTGGGAAACATCTGACGGGGCTGGACCAGGGGGAGGAGGCTGAACCGGTGGAGCAGGAGGGGGAGCGAAAGTGAGGAAGAGAGGGGGAGGAGGAACCGGGAGACCTCGACAGGGGTACCTGACGTAGTAGGGGGTGGACTCCTCGAAACGGACGTCACGGGAGTCAAAGAACCGGTGAGAGGGAGGGTGGTAAAAGGTGAAGTCAGAGGAGTCCTCAGGGAAACCAAGGAAGACACAAGGAACGCCGCGAGGCGAGAGCTTGTCCACGGAAGTGTCGCGGACAAGAGCCAAGCAACCCCAGACACGAAAACGCGACGCAACACCAGGGGACCCGGTCCAAAGACTAGTTGGTGAAGCCTCTGGCCGAGAGACACGTGGCCAGAGGTTCAGCTGGTGAGCGGCGTACCTAACCGCGTAGGGCCACAGAAAATGGGGGGCACGGGCGTGAGTCAAGGAGGTGCGGGCGATCTCCATGACCAAGCCTATGCGGCGCTCAGCAACCCCATTCTGCTGTGGGGACTCTGGAAGCGTCCAGGACTGACGAATGCCCTGCTCGCGACAGAATCCAGCGAGAACGCCGGAGCGAAACTCACCCCCGCGGTCGGAGTGAAGACAGCTGACACGACGACCACGAGTGTCCTCAGTGGTAAGCAACCACCTGATCAGCGTAGAAGTCACCTCAGACTTCTTCGCCAGGGGGAACACTGTGGTGTAGCGGGAGTAGTCGTCAACGACCACCAGAAAGAAACGCTCACGCTCAGGGCCAAGGCGAGAGGCGGGGCCCCAGACGTCCAAGTGGAGCGTCTCAAAAGGCTCGGTGGCCGGACGCAAGGAGGAGGAGTGAGGGGTGGCGCGCAGCCGACCCTCGACGCAAGGACCGCACGGTGGTGCAAGCGAAGGCGGCAGCGATGGCAAGACACGCGGGAGGCCTAAGACAAGACGCTGACTAGACATAGCGCGCAGACGAGGAATGGACGGGTGCCCCATCTGGTGGTGCCACAGAACGGTGGGGTGGGCAAGCGACCGACAGGAGCAAGACGCCGCAACTAGACCAGACACGGGAACCTGACCAGACACAACTACCTGAGGGGACGCGGCAACTTGGTGAGACACGGGGACCTGACGGGGGGCAGGGACAAGGGTCGGGGGCAGGGACAAGGTTCGGGGGCAAGAGTTGCTGCTGCTGCTGCTGCTGCGGCTGCTGCTGCTGCTGCGGCTACTGCTGCTGCTGTTGCTGCTGTGGCTGCTGCTGCCGCTGCTGCCCACCAGGGCCAGTGTGAAGTGTGTAGAGACCAGAGCCCGGCTGAACAGTAAAGGTGGCAAGAGGCGCGTACGAGTCCCCGTCAACACAAACCGCCGTCTCGCCAGAGGGCTCAATCCACACACCCACGTGCTGACTCACAAGAGGCCTCACGCCCACCAAGTTCCTCGAGAACGAGGGGACGTGGAAGCCGGTCAGAGACCCAGAGGGAACAGCAGGGCACGGAAGAGTAGTAGTGTAGCGAGCAGTGACTGGTCCCAAAGTGGGATCAGCCAGTGCTACAGAGACCGGCGCAGGAAGCGTTGTGAGCGTCGTATGGTTCGCGGAAGAAACAGTGCGAAGCCCAAGAGTCCAGAGTGAAAGACAGCGGAGCGTCCTCCGAAGTAGCTCCTAGACTAGTGTCTACACAAGAACCTACACTAGCAACAGGCAACTCAGCAAGA